TCTCTCCACGTAAGATCGGCACGCACTCTCCTCATCCTCTTGATAGTGAGGAGGGTACCTGTAGCATCGATGACATTTATGAGCTGAGTAGTAGGCTACTCGAGAAGAGTTTTAAGTGAATTGGAAAATCCACGAAAACTTCAACTGGATTTATTTAATGCTAAAGATCAGTGTGTCGTGAAATTGTTATTATCCAGGAACATGCTTTCTTCCTCTTCTCCATAGGTAATGAAATTGATCATGACACGTAACAACGACGCACGCGTCGTTCCTTTATCTGTTTAATTCGATTCCGTCATCAACTGAAACGAAGGTCATCGAGTGGCGGAATTGCTCGAATGGGAACAGAATAGGAGAGTTCATTTGTCGCATCATACTCGTCAAATATGTGACACGCGACTCTCTCTCTTTCTCTCTCTCTCCCTCTCTCTCTCTCTCTCTCTCTTCAGAGAGGTTTGGCTCTACTCGTATTTATAATGAGATTCATAAACAATGGCAACATGCAATTCAGCCCTTTGTACGATTCGATACGTGACTACGACGTGGTCGCTAAGCGGAAGGTCCCTTACCGGAAGCAAAGTACTCTGAATATTCATTTAAACGGTTCGTTGGTTGATCCCGGTGAGAACTTGCCAGATCGGCAGTGTCCTATGAAATTATGAATCATCGTTGACCCTGAATTTCGTTTAATCTTTTTGTTCGGCGGGCGAGCACTTGCCGGCTATAACCACCGTCTAAATTCGTTTGCATTTCAATGCCATCCTTGGCGTAATTGTAGCGGATGAAAATGCAATCATGTTCTACGTACTCCGTTGTACTCGTGTGATACAGTGTCATTCATTTTCTTCATTTTTCTTCCGTTTCAGGGAGGAAGTGCAAGAGCATACTGTCAGATGGAACGCTAAATTTGAGTTTCTATGCAAGATGAGTGCCAATGCGTCCACCGGTGTTCTCGATCCGTGTATTTTAAGGATATCCGTGAGAAAGGTAACTCGTTTAAATGTTTAAATCATCCGTGAGATGTTTCTCGTCGTAACCGTGTCCTAATAGTAGATTATTCCCGCAGGAATTGAAGGGAGGCAGGTCCTTCCAGAAGCTCGGCTTCACTGACCTGAACCTCGCCGAATTCGCAGGAGCTGGACTCTGTAGAACGAGGTACCTTTTAGAAGGCTACGACGCGAGGCATCGGCAGGACAATTCCATGTTACGCGTTGCCATCAAGATGAACATGTTGTCAGGAGATATTCTATTTAAAGTGTAAGCTCTATCGACGTATTGTCGAGTCTCGTTGCAACCTGACCGTTTATAATTTCATCGTTGTACTCGGAAGTTGAAAATCATGAAATCGACGATGCTTGGACGAAAATTTTGTAGACCATCGCCGTCGTTGAAGCAAACACAGCTGGCAGTGCCCGGTGTGCCTGGTGTCTCCGGTGTGACGACGGACGAAACCGTATCCGAGAGGTGTACCAATCGAGAAGATTATGTGTCCAGTGGTTCGTTAGCTGGGAGTATAGCTAGTGCCAGCAGCGGTTTCGGCAGTCTTCCCAAAAAGAGGCCTGCCCTCTTCTCCTCGGGTAACAATCGAATCTTATTTCCGATTCTTTCATGTTTTCGTCGCCAAATCAAACGTAGATGAAATAAACGAAAAGATAAATATAATAGAGATATAGATATGATAACGGAGGTAATTAGTGTACGTGAGTATACACGGTCGACACCAACACGTGTTGAGATGATAAACCATTACAAATAGTGCTTCAATTAAGATAAGTTTCGATATCAAATTTTTAACGTATCATTCACCTCATTGCGCAATCTGAATCTCACCTGACTTTGATTTACTGCCCTTTTCTTATCTTGAAATCCCCATTCGACGAGGAAGATAGTAAGAAACAATCGGAACTTGGCGAAAGAACATGACAGAAATACAAACGCTAGTCATAAATGTAGTTTCCGTATAATTGGCGAATGATTAACATTGTGCTGGTTTTTTTTCAGAGCTGCTCAGCGGGACGGAGTCGTACGATCCAATGACCCTAAGCGAGATCGTACCACAAGCTCTTCCAGTGGAGATTCTAACTGAAGCGCACACAGAATCGGGCCATTCTCGTAACAGCAGCAACACCAGTCAACTGAGCAAAGGCTCCGGCTATGGATCTTTAAATTCACACAGTCAGCACAGTAGACAGAGCAGTAGTGGTGACAGTGGCCATATTAGGTAAGGCCACACGGTCACCCAAGATACCAAAACGGCAAAAGCAGAAAAAAAAGAACAGAAAACTCTTGTTTCGAGAAACGGTGATTCAAGTTAGACTCTCGGGAATTTCAAATCGAAAGAGCAATTAAATTCTAATTAATATCCAGAGTTCTCTTCTCGGTTCTTCTCTGTAACAAAAACTTTTCGCGTCTTATTAATATCGCTTGTTACTTATCCTACTCATCTTCAAAAATATTTTCATTCTGTCAATCTTTCAAAAAAAAAAAAAAATTTTTTTTTCTTTGGCAATTACTTTGAAAACTTTTTTCTCGACATTCAATAAATATTCTCATGATCAGCGTGTCCCAACTTTCATGGTTTTACTTGGACGATAAGTGAGCATGGTATTTTATATGGGATCAAGTAAGAAAAATCTTGTAGCAAGGATACAGGAATACAGTTGCTTGTATTGAGTTATATGAGTCGCGAAGCATCTTCTCCGATAGAACGAAATAATATCATCGTATAACACTTATTAACAATTTCTAGTCGCGTGCCACTAAATACCATGCAGTCGCGCTTACAGTTTTGCTTTCGAACTACTACGCTTACGTCTTTGTTTTATTAAACATCGAATTTTTTTAAACATTATTATCAACAACTTCCTAGAAGTTTCTCTTCTAGGTGCCTGTCTCTTAGCAAAAGAAACCTAAACACGTACACTAATTCTTTCTATGCTGTCGAACTTATTATCCAACACGTGTTCGTTGAACGGTTGTTAACAAGAAGGCATCAATAACGATTTACGAGGAAAACAAATAGATTTCTTTTCCCTTTTATTTTCTTCTCTCTCTCTCTCTCTTTTTTTTTACTTTCTTAAAACTCTGGATTCTCTTTTCCTATATATATGTATATATATATTTTTTTTTTTACATCTATCATATCTTCCCATTTCCATTTTACTGTATATGAGTTTATTATTATTTTTGCATGCTTGAATATTTGTGTTGTGATCTTTATAGGTCACCCTCCTGGCCGGTATGGGCTCCACGTATTCCCAATGTCTCCCAAAAATCTTCAAATCAGCAACCTGCCAGACCCGAAACCTCTCTCGACTCCGAGTCTCCATCTTCGTCTTCCTTGATGCTGTTGGACCCACGTAATCGGTTCTGGTCAACGTCCAGTCCTCTTTCGTCGCGCGAGAGGACATCGGTCACGCGAAATTCTCTGAGATCTAGTATAGCGGCCGTTCCCTCATCGAACGATCAGAATGAAATAAATCAATCGAAAAGTAGCGTCGTTTCGAGTAACATGAGTCGTGTTAACGAAGATCTGGGCAACGACGTTGGCGTATTTAGAGTGCCGGGGCCGCAGGACGTGCCACGACACTTGCGGA